GGGAGGAGGATGCAGGAGGGAGGAGATATAGGAACATGTGTGTGTGTATAGCTGATTCACTTTGTTATAGAGCAGAGACTAGCACACCATTGTAGAGCAATTATACCCCAATAAAGATGTTAAAAAAATGTTTTTAAATACTTAAAAAAATATATCCATACAACCCAAAGCAATCTACAGATTTAATTCAATCCCTATCAGAATACATGACATTTTTCACCAACTAGAACAAATAACCCCCAAATTTATATGGAACCACAAAAGACCCCCGAATGGCCGAAGTAATCTTGAGAAAAAATAACAAACCTAGAGGTATCACACTCCCTGACATCAGACTACTGTATACTACAAAGCTATAGTCATCAATGGACTTCCCTGGCAGTCCAGTGGTTAAGACTCAGCCCTTCCACTACAGGGGGCACAGGCTCGATCCCTAGTTGGGGAAGATCACGCATGCCACAAGGCATGGCCAAAAAATAATAACAAAAAAACCCCAGTATGGTACTGGCACAAAAACAGACACACAGATCAATGGAACAGAATAGAGAGCCCAGAAATAAACCCACGCACTTATGGTCAATTAATCTATGACAAAGGAAGCAAGAATATACAAAAGGGAAAAGACAGTCTCAACAGAATAGCCCAGAAATAAACCCACGCACTTATGGTCAATTAATCTATGACAAAGGAAGCAAGAATATACAAAAGGGAAAAGACAGTCTCTTCAATAAGTAGTGCTGGGAAAACTGGACAGCTACATGTAAAAGAGAGAAATTAGAGCATGTGCTCACAGCATATTAAAAAATAAACTCAAAACGGATTAAAGACCTAAATGTAAGACCTGATACTATAAAGCTCCTAGGGGAAAACATAGGCAGAACACTCTGTGACATAAATCGCAGCAATATTTTGGGGTATCTGTCTACCAAGGCAAAAGAAATAAAAGCAAAAATAAACAAATGAGACCTAATTAAACTTAAAAGCTTTTGCACAGCAAAGGAAACCACATACAAAATGCAAAGACAACCTACTGAATGGGAGAAAATTTTTGCAAAGGACATTACTGACAAGGGGTTAATATCCAAAATTTATAAACAGCTCATACAACTCAGTATCAAAAAAAACAAACAAACAACCGATGGTTAAAAAAAAAAAAAAAAAAGAACCTAATTCAAAAATGGGCAGAAGACCTGAATAGACATTTTGCCAAAGAAGATACACAGAAGGCCAACAGGCACATGAAAAAAATGCTGAACACTGCTAATCATCAGAGAAATGCAAATCAAAACCATAATGAGATCACCTCACACCTGTCAAAATGGTCATCCTCAAAAGGATAACAAATGTTGGCCAGGATGTGGAGAAAAGGAAACTCTCCTACACTGTTGGGGGAGTGTAAATTGATACAGCCACTATAGAAAACAATGTGGAGGTTTCTCGAGAAACTAAAAATAGAACTACCATATGATCCAGCAATTCCACTCCTGGGTATGTATCCAAAGGAAACAAAAACACTAATTCAAAAAGATACATGCACCCTAATGTTCATAGCAGCCCTATTTACAATAGTCAAGATATGGAAGCAACCTAAGTACCCAGCAACAGATTAATGGATAAAGAAGATGTGGTATCGGGCTTCCCTGGTGGTGCAGTGGTTGAGAGTCCGCCTGCCGATGCAGGGGACAGGGGTTCGTGCCCCAGTCCGGGAAGAGCCCACATACCGCGGAGTGGCTAGGCCCATGAGCCATGGCCGCTGAGCCTGTGCATCCGGAGCCTGTGCTCTGCAACGGGAGAGGCCACAACAGTGAGAAGCCCGCGTACTGGAAAAAAAAAAAAAAGATATGGTATATATATACAGTGGAATGCTTCTCAGCCATAAAAACGAATGAAATTCTGCCATTTGTAACAATGTGGATGGACCTAGAGAGATTATCCTTAGTGAAAGAAGTCAGACAGAGAAAGACAAATACTGTATGATTTCACTTATATGTGGAATCAAAAAACAAAACAAATGAACAAACATAACTAAACAGAAACAGAAGTATAGATACAGAGAGTAAACAGGTGGCTGCCAGAAGGGAAGGGGTGGGGAGGGAGAGAAATAGGTGAGGGAGATTAAGAGGTACAAGCTTCCAGTTGCAAAATAAATAACTGGTATGAAATGTACAGTGTGGGGAATATAGTCAATAATTATGTAATATCTTTGTATGGTGACAGATGGTAACTAGATGTATCACAGTGATCATTTATAAATGTATAGAAATACAGAATCACTATGTTGTATAACAGGAACTAACATATTGTTGTAGGTCAATTATACTTCGAAAGTAAATGAACAAACAAAACTCAGAGAAGAGATCAGATTTGTGGTTACCAGAGGTGGGGGTGAGGTGGGGAAATTGGATGAAGGCAGTCAAAAGGTACAAACTTCCAGTTATAAGATAAATAAGTACTAGGGATATAATGTACAACATGATAAATAAAATTAACACTGCTGTATGTTATATATGAAATCTGTTAAGAGAGTTCCTAAAAGTTCTCATCACACAAAAAAATTTTTTCTGTTTAATTACGTATCTATATGAGATGATGGATGGTCACCAAACTTATTATGATAATCATTTCATGATTCACGTAAGCCAACTCATGCTGTGCACCTTAAACTTATACAGTACTGAATGTTAATTATATCATAATAAACTGGAAGAAAAAAAATATTTATCAGGCAGCTCTAGACATCCAAATCAAGGGGCATCTTGAGTTTGACACTTTTGAGAAAGGGAGAAATTGGGCTGATCCAATTATCACACCACAGCAAAAAGCAACTGAACTTGGAGTAATCGAGTTGAACAGAAAATCCTAAACCAAAGTTGATGCTAGTTACCATCCCTTCTTGTTGAATCGTGTCCTACTGCCATCCAGGTTTCCACGATACGGTTTGCCTACAAACAGCCTCTCCGAACACTCCTCCTCTGTCTCTTGCAAGCTTCTTTTATTGTCTTTCAATATTCCCTAGCTCAGTGAATATACCAGCAGCCATTCATTTGGGCAAATCAGAAATTTATACATTTTTCTTAAACATTTCCTTTTACCCCCATGTTCAAATTACCATGAATTGCTATCAATTTTACCTGCTAAATATCTCTTTAATCTGTTCACTTCTCTCCATTGCCACTACCCTGGACCAACACACCATCACCTCTGGCCTTGCCTACTGAACAGCCTCCTAGGATTGAATCCCAGCTCTGCCACATTCCAGCTGTGCCATCTTGGGCAAGTCTCATCACTTCTCTGAGCTTCAGTTTTTTCACAGTTATAAGTGGGGATAATAACAGTGGCTACCACATTCACAAGGGGTTGTGAAGATTCAATGACAGTATGTAGAAAAACCCTTTAAAACAAGTGCTTAACACACAGTAAGCACAATGTAAATGATAGCTTTTTAAATTTTAGCCGCATTCACAGGTACTCAGCAACCCATTCATTCTCCACACTGAAGCTTGCTTTAGGGAACAATTCTACCTCAGGCACAAACTTCAGGGATAACTAAAAATTCAGTAATCGGGCTTCCCTGGTGGCGCAGGGGTTAAGAATCCACCTGCCAATGCAGGGGACACGGGTCCGAGCCCTGGTCCGGGAAGATCCTACATGCCGCGGGGCAACTAAGCGCGTGTGCCCCCACTACCGAGACTACGCTCTAGAGCCCGCGAGCCACAACTACTGAGTCCACGTGCCACAACTACTATGGAAGCCCACCCGCCTAGAGCCCGCGCTCTGCAACAAGAGAAGCCACCACAAGGAGCAGCCCGCGCACCGCAACTTAGGGTAGCCCCCGCTCGCCGCAACTAGAGAAAGCCCGCGCCCAGAGCCCGAGCGCAGCAACAAAGACCCAATGCAGCCATAAATAAATAAATTGATTTATTTTTAAAAATTCAGTAATCAAGATAAAGGGTGTTTTAATGTACTGTTTAAACTAATGCAAATGTAATCCATGAATAACTGATGATCAAAATTTCAGATAAAAGTAGACTCCAACTCTGCATTTGCTCCACCACGCCTCAGGCGACTCATTATGTTAACCGGCGGCACACAAAGCTCCCCAACGTGACTTATTCAAACACCGCACGGAAATATCGACATCGATTCCCACCAGGCAGAGCCCCCGCCCCCGTCCTAGGCCCCGAGTGTGCGGGAAGGGCCGGGCCGCCGCCAGGCCCCGGGGCTTTCAGGTCCGGAGCCGAGGAGAGGGACTCGCGAGAGCGCCGCCTGCCACCCGCGCGGCAGCCCGCGCCACCCGAGACGCCCGCTTACCGCACGAGCGCGCTGGGGTACTGAGTGTGCTGGAAGACGCGCTCCAGGTCCTGCACCTGCACCTGCGTGAACCTGGCGCGGGGGGCCCGCCACTGCCAGTCTGCGGCCTCGGGACCCTCGACGGCGGCCCGCGGGGGCTGCTCCTCGCCGCCCTGCTCTCCGCCTTCGCCGCTGCCCGCCTCGGCCTCGGCCTCGCGGCTTTCGCCGTCCGCGGGGCCGGCGGCTCCGACGCTGACATCGCAGCCTTCCTTTCCTTCTCCTTCGTCTCCCGCCTCTTTCTCTTCCGCGGCTGCCCCCTGCTCCGGTTCGGACTGAGCCTTCTGCTCCTCTCCCCCCTCTCCGGGAGGCGAGATCTCCGCGGGCTTCACCTCTGCAAGGGAGGAAACCCAAAGAGAAAGATCAGGCCGTCGAGTGAGCCCGGCTCTGCGTCCGAGTGGGGTCCTGCCGTTCGCCCCGCCCTGGGAAAGTTCCTTTCCTGGAATCGGCTAAAGCGAGTGCCCCACCCGCCACTGACCTTTCGCTTCTTTCCGCTCCTTGTCGACCCCCAGCTTGAAGAATCCGGCAACGGCTGCATCCGTGACGTCATAGGCATCGTGGCTGCTCTGCTGCTGACGCTCCATGTCCCGACTGCTGTCGAGGAGGCTGTGAGCTTCAGCGGAGGCTGCTCTGGATCTCCTGAGACCCCCGGCTCACGACTCAAGGCTAGAGCGGTGGTCCACGATCCGACACGTTAAGGCTCCTCTGGCGTCTGTTCGGGTTTCAGAGAGTCTGGTATGACGCCCTCTGTGGGTTTACCACAGCCTGTTGGGGGTTGGGTTAGCTGATGTGCGCATGCGGCAGGGCGTCGGCCGTCTAGGGGCCGTCTAAGGGGGCGCGGGCAGGGCGCGGAGGATGTTGCGCGCCGCCCAGGCGCTGGCAGGGAGCATGCGTGAGAACAGAATTCTGGGTCCCAGGTTGCAACCTAGCTGACTAAGTACTCCGCACTGGGTCGGGCGCCTTCCCAGACCATGGGGCTGTGCCCGATTTGTGGAGGGTAAGAGCGTTTGGGGACTATCTCTTGACCGAGCCCTCCATATCCAGCAGCCAGTACCAAGAAGGGAACAGTAATCAAAGTAATACGGTCGCCCCTTGGTATCCGCGGGGTATTGGTTCCAGGACCCACCGCGGATACCAAAATCGGCGGATGCTCAAGTCCCATAGTCGGCCCTCCATATCTGCTGATGCAAAACCCATGGCTATGGAGGGCCGCCTGTATATTTATTGAAATTTAAAAAAAAAAAACACCAAAATCCTGTGTTTAAGTGGACTTGCAAGTTCAAAAGCCGTGTATTTGAAGCATCAACCGTATTATTACCTAGGAGTTTGATTGCTCTGAATTTTTGCAATGAGGTTGAAGTCAGAGTCCGCCATACTCCCCGGGTCTCCAAGAGCAGGAGTTCAGGCCTGGGTTTTCTGAGCATGCCTGGTGCTCAGATGCACTATGCAAACAAAACAAAAGAAAGCGAAACCCAGCGGCCCCCCCCATTAGCCTATAGATTTTTAGTAATGAATCAACATCAGATTGCAGGTGTAGAAACCTGCACAGTGTTTCAAGCACTCAAGAATGCTTACCGGGTACAGATTTCCTGCCCTTTTTTTTTTTGGTCCTTGTTGCAGCTATGGACTATGCTACATCTTTGTGCACAGCTCCTAAGCTCCTATTGCTTCTGGCTGTAGATCCTCTACAAAAGCATACATGTCCCTTGTGGTGGGCCCCTGTGGACATGGGTAAATTTACCCACTTTCTTGCTGCTGCCTATCCCCCCATCTCATCTCCTCACGTTTTCTAGAAATATTCTCCTGAGCCCTTGCTGAGGAATAAATAAATTTTATTTATTGTCAAATAAAAGAGGGCCAGGCCAGATTTACAGCTCTATGGTTTCTCCTTGGAGAAGTGTTTTATAGATGCCCCAAGACTTAATATCCTAAGTATTGAAAATAGCTTATAATAATGGGCCCTATACTTGACAATGTACTTGATTTAGCCTGTGTTTCCTTGGACAACCATTTTCATCAACCCCATTGGGGATCAGAAACCAAATTACTTTTGGGGGCTCCTAAATATATCATGGGACCTAGTCCCCTCACCTACAGTGCCTAAGGGATAAGTGCCCCTGCCTCATGTCTGTGGAGGGTGGTCAAGAAACTAAAAAAGGTTTGTTGACCAATTCTCTTTCAAAAACTGGTAAGACATGGCAATATGAGTACCTCCTCCTGATTTTAACCAAGACGTTTCCTCCTCAGGTTGGCCCTTGGTGAGTTCAGCAGGC